CTGAATACAATTCCCATGATACTGAGGATCCATTTACTTACACATACAGCAGGGCATCAGCTCACTTTTTCAAATCCAGATTGAAAACATTCAAAGACCTTTTTCATACCTTTATTTCTACATCAAAATGACAGTTACTGTGTATCTACCAGTGTGGCCCATTAAAATGACCACTGAAATCAAATACTACTATAAATACTCAAAGTCACTCACAAACTTGATCATTTCCAACTATGCTGATGATCTCTATAAACACAGAGAGCAGAATATCTTCACCAAGCATAAGGCTTCAGAGATTAGACCGAGTACAGGAGGATTATTTGAGCACATAAATACACCAAAATGGATTATACAGATTTATAAACTATTGTCTCAACAGTGTAGATCGAATAGGTATTCAGACATACATCTCTCACATGTGAAAATGAAACATTTTAAGACTTTAAACTTCCAATTAAAGACCTCTAGAGACTCTTCAAGGATCTACAGGGACCCTGCTACAGATGTAGACTCCATGACAAGTTATTTCACAGTCTTAAAATACTTTAAATCTTTTGCTTCATTTTATAGAAGGTCCTGGCAGACTTATGTCAACCCTCAGACCCAGTTTAACTTGGAAGAAATTAGCTGTTGAGTTTAACCTCTAAGACTGGACTTGTGAGCTTTGTGAATCACATTAAAGGACTAGATGTGGGCCTATTGATGCCCTTTTTAACTGCATTTTAGATATCAAGTCATGGATGGCAGAGAATTTCCTACAGCTCAACCAGGGCAAAACTGAAGTTTCAATTATTGGTCCTGAAGGCAAGAGAGAGAAACTTTTACCTAAACTACAAGATTTTAAACCTGCTCAATCTGTTAAGAATCTGGGCGTAATTTTTGACTCTGAGCTAAATGTTATTCCACATATCAAGAACATAACAAAGATAGGTTTTTACCATCTTAAGAATATAGCCAGAGTCCGCCCGTTTCTCTCTCAGGCCAACACGGAGGTGCTGATGCATGCTTTTATTTCTAGTCGTTTAGACTACTGTAATGCCCTGCTCTCTGGTCTTCCCAAAAAGACTACTCACATGCTACAACTGCTACAAAATTCTGCAGCACGTGTGCTGACGAGGACCAGAGGGCGGGAGCACATTACACCAGTTTTAAAATCCCTGCATTGGCTCCCCGTGTGTTTCAGGATCAATTTCAAGGTTCTTTTAGTAGTTTTTAAGTGTCTTAATGGTCTTGGCCCATCTTATTTATCTGAACTGCTTTTATCTTATCAACCCTCGCGTACCCTGAGGTCCTCTGGTGCTGGCCTTTTAGTTGTTCCTCGCACAAAAACCAAAACTCACGGAGAGGCTGCCTTCAGCCATTATGGCCCAAAGTTATGGAACAGCCTGCCAGAGAACATCAGGACCGCAGAGACTGTTGATGTTTTTAAAAGGAGGCTCAAGACCCACCTTTTTAGTTTAGCTTTTAGCTGATTTAACTGTTTTAGTTTATTTTATCCTTTACTTTTATCACATTTTTATGTCACTTAGATATTTTAACATTATTTTAATTTAGTTTTAGTTTATTTTATCCTTTACTTTTATCACATTTTTATGTCATTTAGATATGTTAACATTATTTTAATTCCTTCTATGTCTTAGTCTTTTTAGCTCCAGAGTTTCCTCGTGGGGGCCCTCCACACTGGGAGGTATGTCTGGTCTGCCCCCGGGGGGCGCGGTCCTTGGGATCGTCCAGGCCCGGACGGTTAGGGGGCTCTGCACTATGTGCGGGCTGCACCCGGGCTGTCTGGGTCGGGGGGGTCTTGGGGGCGGTGCTCCCTGTGGGGGTGGGCTGTGGCTCCTCTCGGTGTGGACGGCTCCCATAGGTGGTCTTTCCTTACCAGGATCATCAGTGCCTTGCTATGTTTTTACTGACAGTTAGTGTGTGGGTGTATGGATACGTGTGTGCGTGTATGTGTATGTGGGGGGGGCTGCTGTGCATGCCTGTATGTGCTGCTGTGGGTGGGAAGGGACGGGTTTTATGCCTATTTAATTGCCTTATATTTACTGTTGTTTGTTTTTTACCGTTGTTTGTTTTTACCTTTTTGTAAAGCACCTTGTGTTGCAGCTTAAAAGCATGAAAGGTGCTATATAAATAAAGTTTGATTGATTGATTGATTGAGATGTCAATACAGGATTGTGTGTTTTGAGCTGAAACTTTAGTTCATTCAGTCCAGATTTTTCCTTAGCCATAGCTGAGTTTGTGACCAAATTCATTTTTTGTGTCTGTTTGACGGGGTCCCATAAAGCAGGAACAAAGGTATGTATACACTTAGAGCTCCTGTGAGAAGTTTTTTCTCAATAATGAAATGGACTAAAATGAATTTTAATACCTTTCATAATTTCCAAAAGCAAACAAGACTATCAGTTACCAGAATGACTTTTTCAATGTCACCATTTTTGATGCCTGAAACTGGTGAGGGAGAAGGTGTCAGCTGAGCAGCTGCAGAAACAGCCCTGTTTTTAAATTTAAATATGAACATTAAAACGGCACATGATAAGATTTTTTTCAGAGAACACTACTGACATTGATTTCTGGCCAACAAGAAGCGAGAAAACATATGATACAGGGGGCATGAGCTTGGCAGGCACTAGTCTGTTAGCCATTAGCTTCAACAATACTTCAGTCCAAAGACCATTGTGATCATACAACTCTATTGTTATTTCAATAACCATTTGGATTAAGGCTGCACATTATTGAAAAAAACACACACAATTTGTGATGATTTCCCCTTTCTGAAATACAGACTGAGATAGAAAAAAATGCAGGAATTCATTGGATAAATTAAGTGCTTATAAACAATTAATTAATGATCTATTCATATCATAATTTGGTTTTGAAATGTAATCCCTGTCCTATTTTCACTACATTATGTATAATGCTCAGACAGCAGCTCCGAGTTGGTTTCACAAAGACATGAGATGAAGTGGGGGCAACAGCAGGCGGCACAATAATCATTCAGTCTAAATGAGCTTTTTTTTATTTTTTATTATTCACTCTAATTGGAGTTGAATTAATCGCCCAGCTCTACCTTAAGTCTTGCTCTGTAAATGATATTCACAACACTACGATGTACATGCAGGGCAGGTGTAGACACTGAGAGTAAACACACTGTGGTCCAGTTAGTTCAACGATCCATACAAATTTTCATCCCTCTGACATGAACAGGTGCCGAGAAGAGCAGGACAACGCCGTCTTTAAATCCTTTTGGCTTAGCGGAGCCTTTTCTCTTATGCTAACAGTGTATCATGCGTGTTTACATTCTACAGTCATAATTCTCTATGCATCCAAATGAGGGGCTGTTCATCATTAACTCATCCTGGACAACAAGAAGGCGGTGATGCCATGACGTGTTGCAGGTCATAGGATTGACATGGCACTTCCAACAATGTGACTTTTTTGCATGCACATGTTGTAGTTACACTGTTCACAAACAACAATCTTCCAGAAAGTTCTTTCCTCTGCAGGAAATGTGTTTGACCAGTTTAGACAGCCACTGTGGCTGCATCCATGCTTATCTCTCAGGCTGTCATTGTTTACACATTTGTAGTCAAAACCAAAAAGCACATCAGTACTCCCTTTTTCTTCTTTGATGATGCTGATTGGCCTGTTGTTTTTTAAGGAATATTTTCTGGGAATAAGTAGATCAGCTTGAACTTTTGGAAGATAGATTGCCTTATGATCCACAGGTTAGAAATAGCAGACTAATAAAATCATCCTCACCAGTAGATACAAATTAAAACTCTGGACCAGTTTACAGCTGCCCTGTCCTAACGTGGGAGTCCCAATGGGAGGTTTGTAAAATGAAAATGTTTGAGAACCCCTGACTTGGATAACAGTATCAAGGTTTGCCTCTAATCCCTGAGAGGTCACAAGGGACTTTTCTGCCCCTGTTGCTAAAACCGTCTGTTTGTAAGACCTTTGAAAGATGTGACATTTACAGACATGGAAATCAGCTGTGATCGATGGGAAACTAAGAGCAAGTAAAGACCAAACACAAAGATTAAAGAAGGACCATGGATGAAAATGAACTGAGGGCTAAAAGAGCAGCTACAGTGGGAAGGATCTAGGACCAGAGGGGACCAAAGGATGGGCTCATTTAGCATCAAAACAGGGAAAAATGAGGAGGGAGGGAAGAGGGTGAGTATGTGAAGAAACAGGAGGATGAGAAGGAGGCAGACAGAGGAGAAGAGGTAATCCAAGTGACAAAAACACAACAAAATCACAATAAAACACACAGCACCTCAAGCAGAGCGATATCAGCCAAGAAAAAAATCCTTTCCAAAAGCTCTCCAACACCCAGAAATCAAAACCTGACGGACTCATGTGTGTGTTCCCACACACCTCAAAGAAAGAAAACTTGACAGAAAGAAAAGAGTATCCAGAGAAGTGAATCAGTGCCAGCCTATACAAGTATCAATCAATAACACTCTTAAGAGGCAGGGATGATTCAATAAGGCTGTGTGACTTGAATTGACTCCACCCCTCTGCCGCTATGCACCCTGAAGGAAAGGCCAGCACTCAATAAACAGCCACTGCAGGTGTGTATCAATAAACTCATTATAACACACAGCGTCTGACTGTAGGCCCAGTCAGCTGAGGTCAATAGTTCCATCTCTGACATTTGTTATGAATAATCGATCAGGAGCTAACACCAGCTCAGGAGAATCAGAGCGTGACGTGTGAACACTGATCTGGAGCGCATGGTGCTGAGGTGCAAAACACACACATGCACTCACTCACACACACACACACACACACACATAGCATCAGATGAATATTTATGTATGGGGCTCCATCACTCATATTTCAGGTGTTTTAGTCACAAAGCTTGACCACTCACCCAGCAGGACAAAGGTAAATCAATGCACCAGCTGCACATATGCTTACTGTCTGATTTTACCTCATTTAATTAACCCTTGAGGTCAAGTGGAAAAGCTGCACAACCCAGCAGGCGATCCTTACCTGCCACAGCCAGCACACCAGCAGACTCCTAGCACAAATCTAAAAGGATATGGGTTACAGACCATCTTCAGACACCAACTCCTAGGCCTGGTAGTTTGTTTCATGTAGAAGAAGACCACAGGGGCCAAAGTGGGGTAGGGCAGCCTGTCCTCACCGCATGCTGACCCTTCCTCTCCAGCCGTAGAGATCCTGTCAGTAGCTGGGGAGGCTGGCTCGAGCACCACGTCAGCACGCTCCCCACCTCCTATCCCAACCCTGGACAGGTCATTGAGTCGGATGAAAGTCCTTGGCAGAGAGGAGCGACCCTCTGAGTCCCTAGCATCAGGGACCCCAGAGAGATTTCCCCCATCTTCTGCCATCATTCACCTCCTGCAAGATTAAAACAATGTATAAAAGAACTGCATCTAGAGCTCCCCTCTAGCTTATACACCTCATTAGACATTTATGATCTATCAATCAATCAATCAATAATTAAAGGTGCAGCAGGTCTTTGCATATAAGGACACACATACATGGACTGGATCAGGAAAGCCCAGTCTATAGATTTGTGTTGGACCCTCTGTTCCTCCTGATAGCAGCCGTTCTCTTATTATGACAACCATGAAAAACCATGGAAATGCTCAAGTCTGAAGAAGCCACAGAGGAGCGCCCCTCCAAGATCTGAGCTGCGGGACTCATTTAAATGTGCGAATTTGTAAAATAAAATATCTTCATCATACTTTTAGTCATATCAAATAAGCATCCGTTAAATGAACTCTAAATATTAAAAGAACACGCAACAGAGGGGAGCAGTGGCAGGGGTGGATGGGTTATTTCGGGAAAACTGCGCACACCTTATCGACAAATAAATGTGTTAATTGTTTCTAAAGATGGTTTAAACTTGATCTAATTTACGCGTGGTTATCGATCGAGTATTTGATGTAAATTTGGAGACAAACGCTGTTGGATGAAACGAAGCTTTACTGGGCTTCTGAAAATTCAAGAGGGGCTCGCATTCATTTTCTTAATAAAACAATCCAAAATCTCCGTATGAGTGATCAACAGTAGATTTTCTAGTTGTGTCCAAACTTTATCTTGTCATTTAACTGGGTCAAAATAGAATTTTAAAGGCTTGGAGACGGCAGTTTACTGATGCATCTTTCCGTGCAAGTTATTACCTGTAATGGACTCGCTAGATGTGCCCGAGGCGCGCTCAGTCATCGCATGATCAGGTTTTTGTCGTGGCTACAAAGTCCACATCAGCTTGAAGAAAAACCCTGGTTGTTGTATCGTTGAGTCGGAGCGGAGAGGAGCAGGCGGGAGAGGAGAGAAGGAGAGGGTCTTCAGGGTTTGGTGTGCCAGGCGGACCGTATAGTTTCCAGGTGGTGCGCTGCTGCGCGGGTCCGTCTCCGCAGACACGCTGCGCCCAGGCCCTGGTCTCCGCTGCTGAAACCTCTCTGGGGGCCTCACCTACCCTTCATAACCATTCCCCCCTAACCATAAAAAGGAACCAAGACATGTGTCCACTTTTGAAGCCATCCGCTTTGAGAAAAAGATAAACGCCGCGTAAAAACTTCTTGTGGATCCTTCTCCTCGGAGCTGATGAACAATGCCTTGAAAAGGAAAATTACAAAATCTGCAGTATTTCTCTCCCGGGGTTTTCCTTTCCCGTTTCCCCTCAAAATGAAGTACCTAGTACTTTTGGTTGCATCCACAGGCGGTTTTCAGCGCATATCCTGCATCAGTGCTTTAAAGATCCATGAAGATGCTGCTGCACATCCTGCCGCTGAGAACAAACAGACACCAGCGAGACCTCGTCTGATATTTTTTCAATTTTTTAAACACCACCCCTCTCTGTTTAAGCTCACAGAAACGACTCTCCTGTTCCTGCTCGCACTCTTTTCTTCTCCAGACTGTGAGCCGAGGGTTCCGTCCATCAGAAGAGCTCACACAGCTGGATGAGGGATCCCAACTTCTCACTCCCCGCCCTGCGAACGCCAGCTCTGCGCCAATCACAGCGAGGCTACCTCGGAGCTCAGCTCTGATTGGTTGTGCTGAATGTCAGTGTACATTTTATAGCGTGGAGGAGGGATGAAACAGCTGGAATCCTAATGTCAGCTGTCAGCCAATGAGGGGAGAAGGAGCGATGGCATCCAGCAGCACTGCTGTGTGATTGGTGCAGAGCTTCATTACAAAAAGTTTGAGGGAAAAGTTTTCGGAGTGATTGGCAGAGCGCAAAAGTCATTAGCTGTTATTAAAAAAAAAAAAAAAGGCAGAGAAAGAAAAAAGAGAATTGAAATTTAATGGAAACAAATAAATCTATTTAATACTGTGAATAATTATGTGAATAATTATTCATTTAGGTTGTCTGCCTCATGCCATGCAGGGATGCATGAAAGAATGTTCTTGTATGTTAGCTGGTGGCCACTAGAGGAAGATGTTTCCTCGACTAATTTGCCTCTATCTTCCTCCCTCTCAAACACACACACACACACACACACACACACACACACACACACACACACACACACACACACACACACACACACAGAATCTGCACACTGACACAGAGAGGAGTTTCTTTGGCTCTGTACCGTTCAGCATTTCTGAATCACAATGATGTCTTCTGTTGTATCTCTTTTGTCATTGTTTTATTGACCCTTTAAGCCTGATGCAGCCACAGCACAAAGCCTCTACATATTAGCTGAACACTTCTATAGTATATGCTCACGATTAGAGGAGAAGAGAAAATCAATAAAAAGACAGATTTCTTCCTCTAAACACCTGCCACAGCTGCTGCCTGCAGTAGCTGATATTAATCACCTGGTTGCTCACATAGAGCTCATTATAAAAGCATAAGCATCACATGTGCCCTATGACCCCCGAATCACCTGCATGTGTAAGGAAAGACAAAGAGAAAAAGTGAGGGACCACATCTGTCGATAAACCTTAAGTCATTTGTTTACGCTCCTAACAGTGTTCTCATTAAAACATATTGATTCATTAGTGCCTGTAACTCAAGGGAAATGAGCAAATGTTCTGAATACAAAGGAGAGGGAGTGCACAATTAAGAGCAGGATTGTAAAAGCCCCAAAACAAACCATAAATAATAAGCAATACAGTTATGCATCAATTATTCATAACATGGAATGAAGCATTTGTAGTTTAACTCAGAATAAGCATGGACTCTTCCCAAGGCGAGCTGTTATAAGCAGCTGATGAATGATGTTTGTTAGTGCTGCCCATTTCCAGCTAAAACCCTAATTTATCAGAGTGAGTGATCTGGAATCTTGAGGGGGACTTCCTCTCATGGCTGCTCTGCAAGCGCCTGAACAACAGCATAGTCTGGATGGACACAGATTCGCACATTACTGCTCACCTTCAGCCATCTGCAGAGACAGACCTGTCAGAGAAAGGCTCAAATCCACAAGGTCAATGATCCGTCCTCAGTCAGCAGGAGGCTATGATCCACACTCACAGCATCAAGGAGACTTCTGACCCACATTGCTGCTGTCCGAGGGAGGGAGAGATGGAAACATTTGAATCTTCTTGATACCGGTTATCAGGGTTGCCAACTTTGGGTGTCTGGCTGGAGTGAGATTTTTATGACACGAGCTTATGGGCATTTGCATTCTGATACTGAACCAAGAAATAGGAGTCAAATGCAAACTCAGATACAGTTCTAAGGCTTGAAGTCTGTTTGTTCAGGTCAGCACACAGAAAGACAGAAGCACAGGCAAAGGTATCCAAAACAACAAAGAGAGGAGGATTCATTAGAAGACAGACAAACAGACAGACAGACAGACAGACAGACAGACAGACAGACAGACAGACAGACAGATAGATAGATAGATAGATACTTTGTTAATGCCAGAGGGAAATTCAATTCCAGGAGCTGAGATTTTAAATATAAAGACATAATAATCAAAGCACCACAAGATTAGGTGTTCCATATTCATGTGGGACTGACAGGATAAATCACACTACACTCAAGTCTCTTAAAGTGATCTGGATGCTAGAGCCTTCAGTGATAAGGGGCCTCATTAATAAATGCTGCGTACACACAAAAGAAAGTGTACGCCACTTGTAAGCAATGTTTGGGATTTATAAAAAATAAACGTGACGGCAATGTGTGTACCTCCAGGACAGCTCTGACCCTGCTGTACGCACAAAATGAGAAACTGTGACCCCAGTAGGAGGAAATTAAAGATAGCTATGTGAAATTAATACATTTGTGTGAAATAATCGAATCTTAGGCCTACATGTTTCACGACACATATCATAAATTAAGGATATATTTACAAAAACAAAGAAGGAGGAAAACTGTATATTGATGCCCCGGGGAGTGCCACTTAATCCTAGTTTTAGAAGTCCTGCAAACATTGTGTTTGCTGGTAGTCTATTGGCATCTACAGCAGCACCAATGCTTTTTACTTTCACGTTGACTGGACTCCATTTGTAATTATCTGAAGTCTATATCTGCATTATATTTGAATTTAATTGGAACAATAAGAGCGAGAAGGAGTGTCTGTTTGTGGGCTGGGCTTGCTGGAGGAGAGACGGGGGAGAGAGGAGGAGCTGAGAGGAAAACTGGTTGGGAGGGGTAGAGTTTACATTCAAGATTTCTCCCCAAAACTGGCACTTCCTAAGATCCTGCCTACCCCACCTTTCACAGGACGCCTTCACATTATGAACAATGAATTTCAGCTTTTGTATACAGCGTTTCAATTAAAATAATGAAATATTTACATTCATTTAAGCCTCTCATAACCACTTTGCAATTTTACAATTAAGCTAGTAGTGGGAGCCTTTAATCATTTGACTGGGCACCATTCTCTTAACTTTCCGGCACTTTGCTTCCATTCAGGAGATAAGCGTGTAGCTGGTGATAAGTTGAAGCATCCATTCTGACTGAAGCGAGCTCACTGATGCTGAAGCTGTCGAATAAGCGTCGAAGCTGTCTTCGAATTTCTGAGCTGTCGCAAAGATGGCTAGTAGAGAAGTGACATGCGTTTCGCACATGCGCAGCACATATCGAGTTTCCAAGACGGATCCGGTAGCAACAATGACAACCATGACTTACAATGCATTGTGACATTACGTGCCCTTTCAAGCCCTATTATTTTTTATTTTTTTAATTATCAATACAGCCATTGTTGTTACATGACACATGACACATTTTACAAAAAACTGTCGAACATATGTATGTATGTATATATATATATATGTGTGTGTGTGTGTGTGTGTGTGTGTGTGTGTGTGTGTGTGTGTGTGTGTGTGTGTGTGTGTGTGTGTGTGTGTGTGTGTGTGTATAGATATATATATAGATATAGATAGATAGATATATGTTATATATGTTATATATGTATATATAGATATATCACCCATTCTTGAGAGTCGGGACAAAACATGTCCTACATAGAAAAGTCTAATTTATTCAAAACAATTAAGAAATTCTAAATGTTTGACATACTCAAAAAGTTAAATCTAATGGATTTGTGTATACCAATCCTATTTTTTAGCACAGATATTTACTTTTTGGGGGGATATTTGTTTAAATGAAACGTCTGTGGTTAGAAGGTCCATGTTATTGGTTGTGTCCTCAGCAAGAGGTCACAATATTGACCAGCCCCAAAAAACCTTAAAAAACTCTATAATTGTGAAAACATATACATCAAATAAAAATTCAGGGCTATAAATATATAAACAATGAATGGCCTGAACATCAAATAGCTTTTTGCCTAAAAATCTGCCTATCAAAGTTGTGTCCTCAGTTTCTGTCAACTCCATCAGATTATTCTATAAACCTCATTAAATCATGCAATATCATAGTCAGCTATATCCCTGAGGACCCCTTTTCTTTTCCTGCTTCTGGTGAATGCAACACCACCACACATGGTCTGGTAGGTTTTACAGTTTTTGATATTTTAGACAAACAATGTCAATATTTGTATGGTCACAGCTGGACCATGTCAACACCGTCCCTCTGTTATTATACTTTTTTTAAACCATAGTGAGTTCAATTAAAGTATTTTAGTGAGATTATCAGGACAGCTAGCAACTGCCAAAAAAGTACCTAGCTGCACTGTACAATAAATGTTTTGGAGGGAAAATACATGCCCTTACGTCAACTCCGTCAGACATCAACTCCGTCAGATTTTGTGTCTGACGGAGTTGACATGTAAGCTGATGGAGTTGACAAATCCACCTATAACCTCTTAATGTGCTGACATTATGCTATTTTTGAACATGGTTAAGGATAACAATGTTATTCCAGGGTCTTATCTGCACATAAAAGTACATATATAGCATATATTACGTTATTTTACCATATACTTCTGTTTTGTAGAGTAGACTATGGGCAGGCTGTCTGCTTAATTATAACTGTCAAACTTTCCCAACACACACACACACACACACACACACACACACACACACGCACACACCTAATCTCATTGATTGATTGATTAATGTACAATCCTAAAGGTGCAGTATGTAATTTTCACTACCTAAAATCTACACACTGGCTTCTTATAGAGTGCGCAAGAAGTTCTATGTTGCTCTTTTAAACCCCAGTGTAGGTGGGATACCAGATAGAAGAAAAAGGTTATTATTTTTACATTGTTAACTTGGACCCTCAGACCTTGGGCTCTATTTTTGTGTCCACCGGCGACATGGCGGAGGGTAGCGAACCCCGCGCAGTGGCATTTTCGTCTGGCGGAGCTCAGCGTACAGCCAGTTTGGTATTTTCGTGGACTGAGGTGCACCGAGGTCCGCCAAGCTGGGCGTGGATGTGTGGCAGGGTGAGGTGTCCACAGAATCAGCTGGTGCAGTGACATTTTTGTACTTGTTGCCGGCATGTAAAGTGCGCTGAAAGCTCGCAGATTCAAACCTGGTCAGCTTTCAGCGCAGGTGGATCCGGATGGGCTAGTGGTATTTTGGGAGACCGGCGGTATATCGGCCTCACCAGCAGGTTTCCACAGTGTCAGGAACATT